AAGTCAAAAAATTAAGTGTTTTTAAGGTGAAATAATTCAAACAAATCATCATGAATAGAAATGCAGGTAAAGGAGGATTTTTTATATGTATTTGAAAGTGGCTTGATGTAAATAAATAAAAAATAAAATAAATATTCTGGATTATTTCTGCTAATGCTGTAATTTTTTTCTTTGTTAAGGGAATATTTCAAAATACATTTATGGTTAATTAAGTAAATTAGGTCAATTAAGTTTCTGTTTTTTTTTTCTGATGTGGATTTTATTTTTCCTTGAAATTTAAAATTTAATAAATGTTAAAGTCGAAATAAAAAAAAATATTGGCAAATTTTTAAGATAAAATAAGGATAAATGGCGTTTGTATAGTTATCACAATATATTATTTATATTTATTGATGTCACATAATATTTTTATCACGACAGACATATTACATTATATTATACAATATTTCTAGTATACCGGGTGTTTCTCGAAAGTAGCTCACCCTGGTAACTTTTTTATTTTTTCAGATAAAAAAAACGAGAATTGATATGTTAGTATATAACATAAATTAGGATTGATTGACGTATTCAATTGTTTTCGGTCACTTCTGGTTTCACCGGAAATTACTACAATTTTTTATTTTTAAACGGCAACTTCAAACAGTATTTTTTTACTTTATTCGATGGAAAATGACGCTCTAAATAGAATGACATATATGTCAACTTTTGATATTTTTGCTTAAAAAATCGTATTTTAAATTTCAATCTAGAGGGCACTCTTCCATGGCAATGGCTGTGTTAAAAACACTATTTTTTTAATCAAGATGCCTTGGAAAAATAGACTTGATCGTCTAATGTTTTTCGCGCAAGGGTGGCTTAAGTGCTTTCAAACAAGGCTGGCTCATTAGCATATTTGGAAAAAACATTTTTTACAAATTGGTATTTCGAGTCAAATTGTTGTTATGAACCGGATGTTACAATTTCAAATAAACCATATGCGAAACAAAAGTTATAATGTGATATATTATTTCTATTTAGAGTCTCATTTTTCATCGAATAAAGTAAAAAAATACAGAGAGTGGCATTTAAAAATCAAAAGTTGTAGTTATATCCGGTGAAACAGGAAGTGACTTAAAACAAGTTAATTCATCAAACAATCCTTATTTATGTCATATACGTACCAAATCTCGTTTTTTTATCTGAAAAAAAATATAAGGGTTAGCCACTTTTGAGAAACACCCAGTATAGAGTATTCAGAGATCATGGTTATCTACTTACATACATACATACATGGTTATCTACAGAATAGGCTGCCGAAGTTTCCTCGAGTACAATTCTGACCACTCTGTATATTATGTCAAAAACCTTACATTTTAGTCATACGCTTCTCTAATAAAAGTCACATTTATTTTTCTCATAGAGTTCAAAAAAATGTAACTTTAATTTTTAAGACGCTATAGAACTCTATATTTTTTATGCTCACAACTCGCAATTTTTTTTTCAACAACGCGACAAAGTTCTTTATAATTTCTATAATTCTTTGTATTCTCTATAATTCTCTATAATTAAATTTCAGTATCGTTTTGAGCAAGCTCAAATAGCTCTCCACAAACACAGAAGTTTATAGACTGACTAATTTATCTTATATTTATTTACTTCGAGCTACTGAAAAATACATAAAGTTAACCAAAAAATATCCTGCCGATTTTAACGTCAATTTCTCTAAGGAGGTGGCATTGTGGGAACCCTATTCGTCATGGCCTGCACAGCAGCCTACTTCTCTCGAAAACCCAGATCAGCTGAACCATATCAGGACATCACAACGTCAGCTAATCATTTGGAAATCGGTACAAAAATCGCCCATGCTAATCGCTGATTTCCGCTTCAAAAACAGCGAAAACCCAACTAAAAACGACGATCAAATCAGCTTGTCAGCTAGCGTAAACCTCAGCAGTAGTGAGCTCGACATTCTAACTTCTTTGGATAACACAATAGATAAAGGAACGGAGAATTTGGGTGCTGTGGTAGACAATTCCTTAAGAAGACTGAAAGTTAAACAGGTAAATAGACGGGAAAATGGTACATATTTGTCGAATGAATTACCAGAGTGTGTGTTTAAATCTTTCACGGGTACTAATTAGATTTAAAACTTCTTTCTTTAAACGGTTGCAAAGAAAAAGAAGGGCACTTAATAATATTTAACCTTCATTAGCGAGCAAGTGTGGGCTTACAGCCTGTTAAATGTTCTATATATTTTGTTTGTAGAGCGCTTGGATTGTTTGCAGTTATTTTTGTGGGAATATTGTCTCTAAAAGAGGACTAATCTGTTCTTTTTCTATAAAAAAATTCTGAGTTTAAAATCTATGAAAATTATTTTTTCCAATATACTCAGATGCAAAAAATATATGGGGGGATGATGCTATACATTTTGTCAAAAAATAACATGAAAATTGGGCTAAATAAAAACATAAAAAAAAGCAAGTCTTGCATGCTTTTTCTTGGTCTTGCGGGTAAGTCTTGCACTGGTTGGTCTTGGTTTTGGTTTTACAAGTTTAATATTACTCGCTAATTTTGAAGTGTAATTCGTGGCAGAAGTTTAAAGTTTCTTATCATTTTCTACTAATTGAAAATTACTGCCACTAATTCTGAAGTTCTGAATGCTTAAGCTTCATTCAGAACCTCCCAATTAGTGGAATAAATTAGTGGTTTCAATTATACTTCATACTTTTTAGTTTACGATCATTCACAATGTCTAAAAAGTCAAACAGAACTGTCAAGGATCCCCACCCTAGAGAGCTTTTATGGTGGCTTTTCCGCCCACCATGCATGAATACATGGATAGCATTATGCTCCTTCCTTAGTCTTCTTATTCAAAGTTTCTAACCAAAACTTTTCTTGACGGGTGATAATCAAAGGCCAAAATGACATTCCTCGTAAATTTTGAAGTATAATTAGTGGAAAAGTCAAAAGTTTGTTAACTTTTTCCAATAATTGAAAATTACTACCACTAATTATGACGTTCTGAATGCTTACATTAAAATTAGGTGAACAAACTTCTACGCCTAATTGAAACTACTAATTTATTCCACTGATTTCGAGGTTCTGAATGAAGCTTTACATTGAAAATCTCAGAAAATAGAGTTAATTTTATACTATCCGATATGGGACGCCCTGTATATATTTCTATCTTTGCTACGTAAGGATTCTGGGCTTTAAAGTTCCACTAGACCGGTCATTTGTGACCATTAAGCTGCGGTCGTCGTTTATTTGTCTTCTTTTTCTTCTGTTTCAATGGTTTTATCGTTTTTTCGTGACCGAATCAGAAGTAACTTGCAGTGGACGCGTTCGGTTTCACTGATCAGCTAATGTTCCATTGTTTTTCATCTATTTTTCTAGTTGCCATGTTATGTTTCTTCAATAGGTTTAAGGACAATGTACGTTTAAATATAAAAACTGTATAAAACATTTAAATTTAACATCTACAGCTACAAATACCCAGACAAATAATATACTGGAGATACAATATGATTAGACACAGTATTAGTTCACGAATTAACATAATGCTAGGACTATTAAATAAGTCCAACGGAGATTCTTTTTTAAAATTAATGATTTTGTATGTCTTAAATTGATTGGTAAATATATTATTTCAGATGATGAAACACGCTTGGGACAACTACGTGAGATACGCGTGGGGTAAAAATGAACTTCGACCAGTGTCGAAGAGAGGGCACAACGGTAGCGTATTTGGTTCACAACCGTTGGGCGCTTCCATTTTGGACGGATTGGATACCCTGTATATGATGGGAATGATGGAGGAGTTCAAGCAAGCCAGAGACTGGGTGGCCAAAGAGTTTGATGTAAATTCTGTGGTAAGTTAGAATAAATATTTGTACTACTTAAGCAAAATAACGTGGAATTTTATAATTATTGATTGCTTTACTCTGATAACATTTTACCTAGCTTCCTTTGACATTAAGTGTCAAACAATCTGACAATTTATTTCCTTCTGTCAGAAAACTAATTATTTGAATTTCGTATACTGCTAATTGGCTATAACTAAATTTAACTTTTCTGACATGTCATGAAAACCGTTCTCTAAAAAACGTAACATTCACCGGTCAACGTATCCTCGAAAATGTATGGTCAAGAAAAGTTGAACCAATAATCCTTCATTTGAAAAATTCATTGACAGCTTCACATTTCTGAGAGCAAAGACGATTGAACTTGTTTCCATGGCTAACTAAGTGAAATTGTTTAAAAATTATAAGAATTGGCTATAACTGTAATTTTTCGAAGAAAACATATTATAGCTTATATCGCTAAAAAGCTTAAAAAATGGTGCTTTTTATGAAGTCATGGCCAACTATGGTTTTCCATTAAAAAAACATATGTTTGTGTCATATGTCAAAAATGACAGGCTTTAGAAAATAGCGGAGGTCACAATCTCATTAAGAATGTAATTATTTTCAACTTTTATCTGAAAACTTTTTGTCTAAAATAGCTTATAATGGAGTTAGGCACAATTTTTAAAATAGCCGAAATTTGTTTTTTTCGAAATATCTAGTAAGCCATGAACATTTTCAAAAATCTGAAAGGCGCATATTTATGACCCCACAAAACTGCAATTCTTTCCCCATTTAACCAACTCTCTATCTCCAGTAGTTTCCGAGATACGAGATACCCATAGAGAACATCGTAGAAAACTCACCCTTGTATGTGGATATAACTTGTGTAGTTTTATCTGTATGCTGTTAACATCAAAAGAATCACTTGCAAAAACTCATAGCACAAAGAATACAGATAGGACTAGGGGCACGAAAACGACCATACTATTATACAACGCGTGGCTTTAACGATTTTCCAAGTTTAGAAACAGCAGTGAATCGTCGATTTGCCGGAATATTTCCGATTTTTTATCTTTCCGTTTCTTACGATCGAAGAATGTAAATGAGAGCATAAAGGGCAGAGGCCATAACCAACGAAGAATACGATTTTTCTCCCCATTTAACAGAAAAACTATACTTTTAAATTTAGACGTATCTGTGGCTAAAAAACGGTGTTCTTTCTTCTTTGTGTTTTTGTTTCTGACGACATCGACAGGGGGGATATACAAGGGTGATTCAGGGTGATTTTTGTATAAAGCAACTGCTCCATATGTCTAAATTATTTTCAGCATTAGAGTGTTGTCGCTGTACACTAAAAGCGGTAGCATCTTTGTTATTTTAAATGAAACATCCAGTATATTATTATATTTTTTCGAAATTACATACTTTCATATCTTGTAATTTTTCTATTACACAGGGTGTCCCAGAAATAAGTGCAAGTATTTTAACAGAAACACGCCTATGAGGTTTTTCTCGCGAAAAAAAATTTTTTGAAAATTCGAAATTTTTGAAAAAAAAATTTTTGGAATTTTTTTAGTTTTTAGTTAAAAACATAGTTTCATGATAATATGGCGACATATGTATTAGATTAAATTTACAAGAAAAAAAATCCAGAAAAGATCCAGTGGTTCTCAACATTTTAGCAAAAAATATTTTTTTTTTGGAATTTTTCAAAGTAATAACTTCGGTATTTTGTACTTATTTGAAAAACGATAAAGAGAAAATGTTTCTTTTATCGAGATCTACCACCCCTTAAAACACTTGCACTTATTTTTGGGGCACCCTGTATATACTAACCTACGCCGATCTCTAATAGTTTTCGAGATAAAAAATAAAACATGTATAAAATTAACAAAACATGATATTGAATAAGCATTGGTTAAATAATAAATTCAGCATATTGAAACAGGTATATACAGGGTGAGTCTTAAATAAGTGCGAATATTTTCAAAGCTGGTAGATCTCGATAAAAGAAACATATTTCTTGACCGTTTTTCAAATAAGTCCAAAATAACAGATATTACTTTGAGAATTTGAGAGAGAACTTTGAAAGATTTAGATACTTTTTCCTTTTCCAAAAAAAATTATTTTTCGCTTAAATGTTGAGAACACTGAATCTTTTGTCATATTATGAAGATATAATTGCTTATTATGAAGATTAAATTAATTATTTGTTTAATAACTTAAAATTTTAAAAAATTCCAAATTTTCAATTTTTTTCGCGAAAAAAACCTAATAGAAGTGTTTCTGGGGTCGAAAATTACTACCCCTAACAATATTTGGCACTTATTCCAGACTCACCCTGTATATATAAGTATATGTAAGTATAAAGCCCCTGACAAGCTTTTTTTCAGATTTCTGTTTTACTGGTGATATACCGACCCTTCAGAGTTTCTCAACGCAACCAATCTTTCTCAAATCTTAATAAATAACATGAAATTATAAAATATCT